AAGTGGTTGCTCAAAAACTGGGAATTAGGGAAACCAAAAGAAGCACCTTTGAACGCTTGTGTGTCTCTTTGCAAGGTTTTTCCCAAGCACTTCTGAGGCCAGCTCTGGTTAAACCATCCCGGTCTCCTGTATTTATACTCCCCTGGGAGAGAATGGTGAATCAGCATTCCTGAGTGCATGAAAACAGTAACCAAATGGGATTAAAAACCAAATGGGAAAGAAAACAGCAACAGCAGTGCCGAGGCAAACAGGAGGTATTAGTTCTGCAAGGCTTGGCTGAGTGACTGACATCTTCATGCTACAGAGTGACTTTTTTGTCTGGTTGTTTATCCGTTAGCTCTATTTTTTGAATGCTTCCAGTTTTGGGGAAGGTTTTGTATTCCAGCGGCTTAGCAGAGTTGCACAAGTGTAACAGGCTGCTCTCCTTTGGGCATTTATGAAGCTTGTTGATGTTTGGACAAACAAACCCATTAATCTTTGGGAGCATTAAATGGATACCACAGTCAATTCCCATTTTGGGTTTTCTCAGGAAAAATGCTCTTAATGCCAAGCAGGGGCTTTGGGCCGGCTCCAGCACTGCTGGCTAAAGGCAGTGTCCCCCCAGTGGGGCATCAGCAGTGCTAAGGCTGCTCCATGACTAATTTTTGCTTTGGAATATTGCAAGGAATATTTATTTTCTGGGGAAAGATATCACCTTATGCTTTCCAAAGTGAAAAATCTGCACAGAAAAGCTAGAAGAGAGAAAGCTCCTCCTGCCTGGATTGGCTCGTGGATATCCATGTGGATACGAGGAGCTGGGCATCGTGTTGAGCTCACTGGCTGGATTCAGGCCAGAGCTGGTGGCACCTATGTGATAGCTCAGTGATGGCTGCTTTGCTCCACATCTGAGCCTTGGTTTTGGCACTGGCAGCACTGCAGTAATCCCAGTTTGAAAGAAATCCCAGTTTTCCAGCTCCTCACTGGGAGGCTGTGCTGGGAGACACTGAGATGAAGGTGCATTGCCTTTCTGATCACAAGGTCTCCAAGGGACATTCAGGGTGCCAGATTCAAGCTTTCCCAGTAATCACTAGAACTGTAAATACACTTTCTTTTTCTTCTTATTAAGCGGTTTCCACCCTGATGAGCATCTCTTTGCCTCCACTCACTTCTGCCTTCTCTTCCTGCTGGAGCTGCTGCAGCACCCAAAAGGACTAGCATCACAAAGAGACTGCCATCAGCCAGCACACACCATCCTGCCACACTCCTGCCTTGGAAAGGAGGCTCTTTGGTAAACCAGCAAATACTGTGACTGGTGCATGGTTGGGTGATGCTGCCACTCTGGTTCCTGCCCTGGAGCTGGTATCTAAGAACATGTCAGAGTGCGAGTTAGGGAGCAGAGTTAGTGCCAGGGGACAGGGTCAGCATGACCCTGGGCACCGCCAAGCCTCGGTGCAGCCAGCTGCTTCCCTCTTGCATGTTTGTTGTTAAAAGTCCAGGAAAGGAAAACAGTTTGACCTGATTTGTGCCAGATTCCGCATGATTTGTGCTCCCTAATTATACCCCTCATCCCATTAACCTCCTGTGCATTACAGTGAGCAGCTGCTACGGTACATGGCGAAGATATTCCCATGAAACAGTAATAAGCTGGTTTTGTATTAACCAGCCAGAGCTGGGTTAGAAATGTGGCACCCACAGCTGATGCCTTGACTGCAGCTCACGCAGTAACCGGTGGCAGCTCCTTGTCCAAACACTGCCACTGCTGCACACAGATTTTCTGGAAGTTACCAGGTATTTCTTGTCTCTTGCCATGAGGAACCGGTTGCTGCGAGGGCTGAGCTGCTGCAGCCCATCACAAGGGTTGTTTGCTGAGCTCTCCATCCAGCTGGGAGCACAGGTGGAGCCCTTTCAGGCGGCTTTAACAAGGCTTGCAGTGGGTTAGGCACTTATTTTCCTTAGGATTTCAATTAAGCTTGGAAAATGACTCCAGGGAGTCTTTGCTGGTTCCTAAGTGATGCTGGTGCAATGGGTTCATCTGCCTGGCTCCCACTGGTGCTGGCTGCCCACAGTTCAGTGCTGGTACAGGCTGGTTTTAAAGTAATTGGAGGTCTCACAAAGTGCAAACCGCGGTGGCTGCTGGCTGGAGCTCCCTGGGGAATCCAGGGTTTTTACTTGAAATAACACAAATATTTTTCATTTATATTATTACTGGCCTGCAAAGGTTCCATTGTGCATTTGTGCACTTGCCTTTTCACTGAATCGTAGAACCCCAGACTGGTTTGGGTTGAAGGGACCTTATAGCTCATGCAGTTCCAACCCCTGCCGTGGGACACCTTCCACTGGAGGGGCTTGCTCCAAGCCCCTGTGTCCAACCTGGCCCTGAACACTGCCAGGGATGGGGCAGCCACAGCTTCTCTGGGCACCCTTTGCCAGCGCCTCAGCACCCTCACAGGGAAGAGCTTCTTCATAAAACCTAGTCTCAACCTACTCGCTTTCAGTTTAAAACCGTTCCCCCTTGTCCTGTCACTACATGTCCCTGTTAAAGGGGCATGGGGGTCTAAATGTGCTGTGCTGCTGATCCACCCCCCCTCATGCTGAAAACAAACCCAGATGGACTCCTTTTGCAGTACAAAGGTGCTGTGCAGAAGAATGGGTGAGTGCTCAGCTCCCAGGAAACCCCATGTACTTCCCTTTGCTCTGCAGACCAAAACTGCACCGAAGTCCAGCTTCCATTTTTTTGAGGCCCTTTAAATACAGAGATCAATTTTGTTTTAGAAGCAGTACCCATCATTCCTGCAGAGCCCCCAGCACAGCTTGGAAAGGACCCAAACCATTCCAGTAAACCTGCCATAAATGACTTGTTGCAGTGAGAGACTGCTGAATCACAAACAGCACCAGGAACATCCAGTCACTTAAAACCAGAAAACGGATCCTGTTTTGCTGAATAAATGGTTTATTACGAATTGCTCAGCATTTGGCAGCTAATCCAAGCCGGCAGCTCACCTGAAACAGGTTGGTCTTCCCATAGCTGATGTGATTCTTTAATAGTAGAGCTTTGCCTGATTAAAACAATTGCAAGACCAGTTAATGATAACTGTCAGTGGGAAACCCTGTAAGGGTGTTATCCTCTAAACTTTATTATCAGCCAGAGTTTAGGTATCAGCTGGGCTGTGTTTAGGTGACTGAAGAACTAACACTCCCAGAAAATAGCTTAATTATTGAACTACTTTCTGTCATTTGGGTGCTGGGGGCTGCTCATGGCTCTTTCTCCACTGCTGCTGTTGGATCTGTTTCTTCCTCACAGGATTCATGCTCGTTCTTCAGCAAGGCACAGCCAGCATACAACAGCGTCTTCAAATACCTCCACACTGTGCTGGGGACCGAGTTGAACAGGTTTTACTCCATCTGGTCCTTCCTGCAGCCCTGGGATGCAGAGAGCCCCTCTCACCACATCCAGGGATTTTTCACCCTGCTCCCAAAGTCCAGCTACTGTACCATAACTGTACTTCTTGTGCCGTGCCACCATCTAGTGGTAACTCAGCTAGAAACTCTGCATCCGGAGATGCAATGCAGCCTGAGTGGCTCCTCCATCACTGGCCTGCCTGGAGCCCGGTGCTGCTGGGGGTAGCATGGATGCAAAGTGCAATTTCATTGCCTAGGGCTGGTGGGGGCAATCTGCTGATGAAGTATAAAACCCAGCACATCAACTATGCTGAGGTTTCTCTGCATATGGTATCCTGCTCTGCTTCTCTCTGTAATGAGTGTAAAGAGGGCTCCTCTTGCACTTGATTTGGTTCTGTGCTGTGTACCAAAAAGCTGAGCCCCTGGCACTTCCATTTCTTCACTTGGCACTTGGCATCACCCCCAGGCTAGGGAAATGCTACTCAGGAGCTTTAATACCTAGAGAGGCCAGAGGTGTCCCCATGGGGCCATGTGTACATGTGTGAAGTTCTATGTGCATCTGTCTGGGCTCCCACATAGGCACCAGTTATAGCTCAAGTCTGAAGAATGGAGGGAAATGGGCTAAAAAGGTGATGTAGGACAGGAAAGTAAGAGACAGGCTCCTGTAATTGTCATCTTTAGGCATTTCAGACAGAAAGAGGAAGACCAGGGGGAAAGAGGGGTGTTGGAAGTGTTTGACCCCATGCGTTTGACCCAACATGTTTGACCCATGTTTGTCATGTCTGAGCTTTGGATGTGAAACCCTTCCACATGGCAACTCTAAACTCTCAAAATCTTTGGGTTGGGAAAGCAAAAGCCACTTAAATATAACCCTTGTCACAGCTGGAAATTAGATACTACATGAATTGCTGCAGTAAATGAAACCCAGATTTTGGCTGGGTCACTGTTTTACCAGGACATTTAAGTAAGTAAATGATTTTCCATATTGAAAATGCTGAGGCTGCTCGTTACCTGATTAAAGAACATGTTGGACTTCAACGCACTGCATGGTGCTAAGTGAATAATCAAGGTAAGTGGGGACCTTTCAAATCCTCAAGCAACAAACTTCAATTAGATGGAAGCGATTCAATTACGCATTAAAGGGAACCTGGCTCCGAGCACTCAGGATGTGGCAGGAAAATGTATGCAAAAGAATTTCATGGAAAGGAGCAATTATTTTATCAATAGGACATGCAAAGTGAAATTTGCTCATCAGTCCTGAATAGAAGCCTAAATTTGCTAAGCCTTTTAAAGAGATGATGCACGGACCAGGATGGATTTCAGCCCAGTGTAAAGGCCGAGAGCTTCGAGCAGGTTTAAGTGTATTTGATTAATTTCTGTGTGGTTATCAGCTGAGGTTTTAGTCTTCACAATATTTGGCCTTGGATAATATTAATGTGTTGTAACAAGGGTATAGGACTTTGGCAGTAAGTGTATCCCAATCCCATTTCATTAAGATGATGTTTTGGAAACTGAATTGGGTTTTAGCCTAGAGATGCTGATTCGTCCTCCCCCCACCTCTGCATAATGTCAATTCAGTGAAAAAAGCACAGGGAAAAACCACTTGAACCACTTTGCAAAAGAACACAGACATTTGAATTTAATAAATTATAAAATTAAAGATTCTAATTTGTATATACATTTTTAATATACAAGAAATGGCTATTTATTGCAATTTCTGTTAAGGTATATGTAAGTGAATGGAAGTTGCATATAGATATTCAGATGAAGATAGCTAATACTGTGCTCTGTAGGTGAGTAAATAAGACATTAAATGCATTACGTAATAAAATAAAACATAAACCCCTTTGAGTACTGGTAAAGCACCATTTCTAGAGTTCTCCAAATATCTGAAAGCATTCTATGGAGATGCTGTGAGACTCTAAATACTGAACAGATAAAACGAATATAAAAAGTGATGCATTTATAACAGATTAGAGGAATTTCTAAAGGAATGTTAGTGAAAAACAATGGCAGCAGATTGGAGCCAAAGGCACCAGGAAAGGTTTGGGATTTTTCATGAGGGGCTGTCACTTGGATTTTAAGTTTAGACCAACAGAAAAATGACAATTTAGGAAGCTGTGTACTTGGTGGTTATATCACAAAATGTGTTTTAATGGGAGCAGATTGCTTTAGCTCTGGGATCTCTGAGATGGCCTCTGCAGGGATGTATTACTTATAAATCTGCTTTTGTTTTGGGGGATTAGGTTGCATCAAAGTACCACTCTCTGCTCATTACGGCTCAAAATGCAGTACCCAGGAAACTGCAAAAGGGTACAGAAGACACACTATGACGATGCCCTTGGCCAATGACAGCATTGTAGAAAAGGGGAAAGGGTTGTCAAAGTTCAACCAAACAAAAAATGACCAAAATTTCACTGCATGACATGGAATAAATATCAGCTGAATGCAAATGCCCACCCATTGCCTTGGGATGCTTTTTCTTTATCAATAGAGCTCTGCTCTGTGTTTTCTAGAAGTGAGGTACGTGGTCTTAGGAAACAACCATCGTGAGGAACTGCTGAAAACACCTTCTGAAAAACTGATGCCATCTCGACAAGAAGGCATCTTTCCTGGTCTGAAGAGACTTTTTCCTCCCTTCATACAGCAAGACTGTAAAGAGAAGGCAGCTGGTGGCTCCGCTCCATTAAGGAGATGAACCAGTGTGTGTCCATCAGCATCTGTCTTGAGCAACCTAGACTGAAGCTGCTCCTTCAAATATTATTTCAGTGTTCCTCAAATAACAGCTAGAGAAATGTTCAGTAGAATTAAAAACAGAGAGAAATAAGTTAAATCTCCCAAAGGTGACACTGAGAAAGGAGCAAGCACTTCCTAAATGCAGGCATCAGCAGGCATTACACTGAGTCCCTAATGAACACCAGACCTAGGCTAGCACCACACCAGCCATTTGGAAGTCTGCTCCTGATCCAAGATGCAGCAGAAGTTTCCACTTCATCTGGAAAGATGCTTTTGGTTTGTTTGGTTGAGAACTGACTCACTCTAGAGAAAGAACAAAATGGGCAGGATGCTGAACTTTGAACTAGCTTTGCAAGTTCAGCTTGGGTGTCCACGCCATGCATGTGGATTGCCAGCCTATAGCAGTCTTGGCCCTGGGAGACCCTGGAAATGCTCAGCACAGAACAGCCCACTCCTTTTCAAACGTTGGGTCACTGCACTGGAAGAGCCCTTTCCTTGTGCTGTTTGCAGACAGGTCACTGGAAGTTGCACCAAATAATTCCTGCCCCATTTTCTATTGGGACACAACTTGGAAGTCATTTGTACAGAAGAGGCAGCATTTGAGCTGTAGGCACTTGTCCTGTGGCATTTCTTCATATTACCTGGTTGACTAAGCCTGTTCCAGATGCTAAGGGAGAACAGAAGCTCTTACTTGGGTTATTTCAGGCTTCTGGAGGTCAGAGAAATGTGTCTTCATAGAGCCTCAGAGAATAAGGCAGCAAATTTGTACCTCCTCACCTATATAATTTCAAGACCCAACCCCTGTCTACCTTTGGGTTTGTGAGGGTTTTTCCTAAGTTTATCATATGCTTGGATGTGTGTCTAGGTTATGAAAAAGCTGGAGGTTGTGGTTTATTTTTATTGTCCACAGAGCTAAAAGCAGGATAATAACTTGAAGGGGGAAAGACAAGTTTTACACTAACCACATCTGTGTAAAGGAAACGTGGAAGGCAAGAAGTATTAAGCCCTCAGGCTGGGAACCCCGCTACAGCTTGTGTCTCCCATGGCACACCAGCTGGAGTGATGTTGACTTAGATACATCTTCCTTGCTTATAAATAGCATGATGGGTTTTTTTTCCCTTCAGTGCTCATTGCTACACTGCTCTGTTCTGCACAGATGTGACCTGACCCTATGCTGATACTGAAACTTGTCCTCTCTGTAGGCAACCACAAACCCCTTGCCACAAGGCTTCTGTGCCAGTGCTGGGCTTGCGAGTACATGGTGGCTCTGTAACGACAGGCAGGGAATGGAGCAAGGCTGGCACAAGTGAAGGCCACTAAAGGTAAGCAGTCTTCAACTGCAGGAAAGCGTTTAGTGTCTCATGAGTTAAAGTGTGAGTTGAGACTCCTGTCACTGCCCAGCCAACTGATGCTCAATGCTGCCAAACTGTGGAGCTTTAGTTTTACTTTGCAAAACAAGAACAGATGACTTTGTTGTTTGCTTTCACATCTGCAGCCATGTCTGCTTCGCCCAGGGGATGTTTCCTAGCACTCTGGACTTCTACCAGGCCCATCGCGCTTCCTGGTCTTCATGGTCTTTGGTCTAACTCCCATCCCTGTACTGCCTGAGCTGCTCCTGAATACTCACCCAAATGTATCACCCCAGTCCTTTGTAAGAAGGGATGCTTGATGCCATCACACCAGCTGAATGCATTCCTTCTCTGCTTTGACCAGTATCTCCAAAAGTATCTCTTAAACCAGGTCTTGTCCTTCATACTTCTGGCCACAGTTCAGGCCAGAACAGTTTCACATCTCACTGCTGCAAAGTCTGCTGATCCTGCAGGCTCTTGCCTCCTTTCCAGCAGGACTGGCTTGTTTTGGAGAAGAGACTGGGCAGCTCATTCATCCACGGTGGTTGAGAGCAGAAGGGAAAGAAGCAGGAAGCCACATGTGGTTCACCTTGAGATACTTCTGAAGCTCTTTGCCAGCAGCCCGGCCACAGAAGAGCTGGAAACTCAGCACATTTCCAATAACTATGTGACTATATAGAGGCTTATAACTGGCACTGCAGCAAACTGAGACCAGCTTGGGCTGGAGGACGAGGTCTTACTGGAAAATCTGAACTAGGAGCCATCAGATGTGCTAGTGGTAAAGGAGGATTTCAGGGAAGCCCTGGGCTCTGCAGGAGGTTTACCAGCAAAGAGGAAACAAATGGAAGAGCCCAAGCCAGGAGACGGGAGAAAAACTGCACAGACGTCACCCACGGCAGGAACCAGTCCATGCTCCCATCTCTGCAGTGTTAGAGCCAAGCTGAATTCATCTTCTGATCACCAATCAGGAATTCAAAATGACCTATGAAAACCATGATGACCCTGAGGGGGAAGGAAGTACTCAAAGGGTTGTCAGGTTACAAATCTTAATGTTTCTAGCAGACCTGGTACTGTGAGTACATGTGTGTGTCTGTGTATATGTAAGGGTACAGCAAACGATTGTTCACTTCTACATCAGTAAAGCTGTCATAAGGAAGATAATGCAAAAATGTTTCCTCCAAAATAATCTCATCCTATGGGAGAAAAAGAATGTTTTCTTAACAAAGCACCAAAGAAAAGGCAACAACAATCCAGTCATCTTTAAGTTAAACAGTATGTGGGTAGGAAAAAAATCATACCAGTAAAAAAAGCACCAACCAACAAAGATCACTGAGGCTGTTGCATTACAGGGACTTAAAGACTCAAATATATGGATAATTGTAAACAGAAAGACTCGGATGTTGTCAGTCCAAGTTGGCCGGATCTACCCTATGTCTTGCATGTATTCAAAAGTTTAGGAGAATCCTGTGAAATCATTTACGGAAATATGTAAAGCACTGTTTGCCAGCTCTTAATCTACACATGAATTTATGGCTACAGCATGTTCTATGTATTTTCTTATGCAGGCCCGGTTCAGAAAGCTACATAAGCACATTCCTGGCTGTGACCACCAAGGCAGCTCTACCAAAGTCACCTAAGCTTAGCCTGGCATGTTCTTACGTACCCTCCTGAACCGGGGGCTGAGCCAGTGCCCGGTTATGCAGTGCACAGAAGCATCACAGGGTGCTGGCCACCTGCTTGTCAGTGTGAAGAGGGTTTATCATGTCTTGGGACTGTTTTCCTCCATCCTAAATGTAACTCCCATTACTATTCCCAAGCAGTGTTACACAAGCATAGAAGACTTAAAAAGAGCTCATGAACTAGAAACCTGCTAACCTGGCCTAGGTATTACAGTTTGTTTGGATTCAGTGAAATGCTGTAATGATATTGCACTAATACTCTACCGTACCCTGTAAACCTAGATGTCAAAGTGTTCAGATTAGCACTTGTGAAACAATCTGTCATTTCCATCTATAGTAGGCTTCAAAATTTGGCATCTTTGCCATAGCACCACTTCGATTTTCCCCCATTTTTAGTCTTTATGACACGGGCAATACCATGATGTTGGTGACATCTCTATAAGAGAAAAATGTTGTTTGTGCCACATTCTCAGTTTAGTTTGTTTTCCTAAGAGTCTCTTTTTTCCTTTTCTCGGCAATCAGTTCCTGAATTCTTTTATTCCTTGTCTTTTCATAAGGTATCCTCCTCCGTGTAATGATGTTGTGCTGTGATACTTCATTATCCAGCCCCTCGATTTTATAGGGAACATCCACTGCATTGATTTCTGGGTGCTCCTCAGTTGCATTGGAAGGAGGTGCACGTGTTTTGGGAACAAGAGGAGGGCTGGTGGAAGACTGTGTAGTGGACAGGCCCATGGGAGGGCTGAGAGTGGTCAGGAGCTCCTCCTCAATGACATTATTCTTATTTATGTTAGAATCAGTTACACCGTCCACCTCTGTTACGTTGCTGTACATGTTACAGGACTTGCAACACAGCTTATTGTAACTAGGAAGCGAGCAGTAACGAGAGAGAACTTCCATGCGACAAAACATTGACTTGTCTCCTTGACAATGATCTTCTGAAAGAGAAAAAGGGAACAGATAAATAAAGAGCATCTTCACATTAATCAGAAAAAAAGAAACAAAGCTGAAGCTTTGGCAGTGGGCAGAGAGTTTGATATTTAAAGTGGGATGGGAAACTGGCAAATGAGCCTTCTGTAAGCAGAAGCAGGATTAATATTAAACCTAAAACTCAGTTCACTACAAGGGATGCAAAGCTGATCTGAACTGTTTGTACCAGCCTCATCCACACTATAGACTGTAACACTGATTTTTGCGTTCAGGCTCTGGAAGTGCTACCCTGAAGACCATGCAGCCACGATGAATTCCATTACCGCTTTGGCTTAGAGTTCAAAGCACTCCCATATTACTGTGTTGTTGGTAAAACTACATTAAACCCCCAGAAAGTCATCAAGGTTTATATTGAGAAAACTTTTTTCACTACTTCACTCTCTTTAATGCTCTTCTACGCTCTAGCAGTGAGCAACCACAGTCAGAGGTAATTTATATCTATTTGGACTGTCTCAAGAAAGTCAAGTCTTATTTTCGATGTGTACCATGTAACTGTCAGGATGAATCCATCTCCCGCTGGAGTGATATTTATGCTATTAGAGTGATATTTTTGCCAGGCATCTCTATTCTGAAATAAGCAGCGTTGCCTGAGTATGTCCCTTGCTCAAGAGAAAAGGGGAGATGATATTTTCAGAACAAACTTCAGTGCAAAGGGGCCAACCCAGTCCGTTGATGACCGGGAGACTCAGTAATGAGTCCTGATTTTTGTCTCACTGACTGTAAAACTGTAATAAAAGAGAAAGAAGGATAATTGGTCAATAGCTGTTTTGACAATCTGCACTGCAATAGAGGTGTTACAGCAGATCTTGAGCTTGCTGAAACAGAGGTGGCAGAATGTAGTCTAAGGCATTAAAGGTGAGCTGGCCAAGTTGCACTACTGCCTGAGGAACATAGAAGCCTATTCAGAGATTACTCAAGCCCTTGTCATTTCTGTTCAGAGAAGGAAGAGGACCATATGAATTGGCAGTGGATGGACAGTGAAGGGTCTAGGAGGCTCCTTGGAAAGAAAGCTGCATGTGTCCTACACAAATGGTCTACAGCTCCTCTGCCTTCAGGTTGAAGTGATGGAGTGAGGAACTATTGGGAACTGCAGGGAAGGAAAAACCCCAACACACAACCCATGCTGAGAGAAAGAGGAGTCGGAGGGCTTGTAGGAGAGGAGAGTGCTGAGGAGAAAGGCAGACTGACCAACACTTGGCATAATGAGTAACAAAACATCCCTGTGACCAGAATGCTGAGACAGAGATGAAATCACTTCTGCCTTTCTCCCTGCTCTTACTACATTTCCACCTACTCTTACAGTAAAGGATGAGTAACTCCAATTACTCGCCTTTATTTAGAGCATACCCGATGGCACATGGTGTGCTCAAGTCAGCGTGGTACTGGAGCTCGTATTTCACCATCCTGCTATGAATACTGACTTACCCTGTCAACAACCTTAGAGCAAAGCAGAGAACCAGAGCAGACCCAGAGATATCAAGTGAACTCAGAAAGGGTAGGTGTCACCTCTTCACTCACCCTCAGTTAATGAAATAGGGCATTATAGGTGTTTAATTGGCAAACATATCAGTCTATAATAAACTACTAACTCTTGCTGCTGCTTTAAAATGCTAGTGCTGGCTGATGAAGGTGAAAACACCTTCTCTGCATTGTATTTATGCCCCAATTGTTGCGTTTGTTGCAGAAAAGCAAAATCCTGGCTCCTGTTTTCAAACGCATCAATTCTTTTTCATATTTGTCAAATGCTAAAATGAGATGGTGCTGGAAATAAAGAACAACTTCTTCCTTAGGAACCTAAGAATAGTACCTTGGCTTTGGAGACATTTTGAAACCAGTCTTTAAGAGCTGGAACTGTTCCTACGTGCATGCACAACTCTATACAAAGGACTCCATGTGTCTATACAACTATATATATATATATTTACAAATGATGTAGAGCTCTCTTTGTACATTTTTGCCTTGTGTTGCATGACCTATCCAAGAAGCAAGCTTCTCCAAATAGCTTGCAAAATGAAATCCAGCCATGTTCAAATGTAGTTTTCAACAAGGCAGATCTGTTCTTAGCTTTGTAAGAATCACTAAATGCACCTTTAGAAAAACGTCTTTTCCCCCCCCCCCGCCAAAAAGTATGTAATGACAAGCTTAAAATTACATGAAAATAAAACTGCATTATGTAATCTGTTTAGTGACATCTGATATGTTGTATAAATAAACTCTGTAGCGTATGAATGCTAGAATGAATTTTTTATCCTCTATCCAAACCAAAATATCCAGATTTGCTGAACTTTTATTTATTTTTACTTGCAGTATGCATGACAGACTGGAAGTATATCTCCAAAACATCAGTAAGAAAAAAATAAATCAGTTTCACAGTCACTTTGGTACACATTAGTCCCATAAAAAAATATTGAAAAGCAAACTGAATTGGCACATCTTTAATATTATGTTAAATACATACAAAACACTAATAAAATATCCCTGATAAACCAAAGTGCATATAGACATAGTGCACAATTCCCAGATACCTTATTGCACCATTCTCTATAGCCACCCATCTCTTGAAACATCACTAAACATTGTCTATTTAAAGGTAACAGTCATGAATATATTTATACAGTTAAACACCAATTATTTTACATAACAGTATTCAGTGCCAGATACGTGTCTTTGCTTTTTCACCTTGTCGTGTAAATTGTTAACATGTTTCAGGAAATTATCATATTAACAGCAAAAATTTCAGTATGTGATCACATGATAATGACAAGTTTGAAGTGCTACACTGTTGATGACCCAAAGATGCCAAAATGCCACTTTGCCAAAAGATATGATCAAAGCAATAAGGTAGCAATCTGCTCCAAGGCTGCGGATTTAAAGTGGATGCGCGTCTACTATTGGTACTGACTGTCACAAACAGGTTTATGACTTGTGAATTCCAAATCTTCAACACAAACACGGAAGGTGAAGCAAGAATGCCAGTTAAATTTCAGTAAGTCAGGTCACAATCCTGTCCTGATGAAGATATGGATATGCGCTGTGCAAATTAACCTTGGATTAAATTTACTGCCTTCTAATACTTATCATTCAAGTAAAAACACTCCATATGAAGATTAACTCAAGGTACCAGTGTACTGTTTGTATTTAAAGCTGGATCTGGTAAATTAATGCCATTTACATTTCAACATTAAGGCATTTTTCTAAAATTCTTCTAAGCAAAAAAAAAAAAAAAAAAAAGCAATAAAAATTGAGGTAATTCTGTAGTAGTTCACACTGTTATGTTTGCCAGTTGACACATCTATAGAGCATACACACACACAATCGCACATACAACCGCACCAGTCAAGTCAGACATGCACATGGTGAAAAAAGACCAAAGATGTAATGAGTATAAACAGCTCCTTGCTGAGCAGCTGGAGACATCGTAGGCAATGAAAACACCGTATTGCCTCTGCCAGGTTAAGAAAAACACCACCACACAACCTTCCACATGGACCATGCCTGTTCTGCTCCCGTTCTGTTTCTAAAGTGAAAGTACACAAAACTGGCGAAAAATTGTGCAAGGGGGAAAGGAATGCAGCTTTCCTCAAGGAAAAATATCCCATGTCACCACCAGGAGTTTGGTGAGAGCAGATGGTGTCATAGCAGCACAGAAAGTACCGACAGAAACTGAGCTTCTGCCTCCCACTGAGCCCTCCACAGGTTACAAACATAAATGTGAGGGTCAGGAAGAAAACATGGGCAGCAAGGGTGAGTAAAGCGATGGCACCACAAAGGAAAATGGAATGAGAAAAGTCTTTCACTCATCAGACTACCCTGTCAGCGAACTGAAACTAGAGAGTTATGAGATTTAGGGTTTCTAGATAAAGGAGAACTTTAGCACTACAAGGTGTCATTATTGTGATGTGATCACATTCACAATAAGTTCTCAGTTTTGCTATCAAACTGAACATCATGAACCAGTAAGAGCCTTTTTTCACCATCACCAAGCAACAAGCAAACCGATCCCAGCTCCCTTTCAGAGGACCGCAACATACTTTGGAGATCCAACTTCACACATCCAACACTTCAAGACCTCCATCACCAGTGCTACGCAAGCTCCAGAGAAGAAAGACACCGAGCACCAAGTGCCTGGTGTGAAAAAAAGATTCAGCCCAGGATTTAAACTTGGCAAAGTCAAGGGAACTTTCCGCATAGAGAGAAGAAGAGAGCAAAAGGCAAAGTCCACATTCGATGTGGCATGCATTTAAGGGCAAAGGCAGAGTTATAAATGGGTCTTTTACTTGAAGATATTTTCTGGATGGGGTAGTCTGGATCAGGTCTTGACAGCCATTGTATCATGTAGGTTTTCTTTGAAGGATCAGAAACGTTTCCTTGAATAGAGGGAAAAAAAGATGTAAACATATATTAGCATTACGTAGCTGACCTGTTAGAACCGGATAAGGCATGACCATCAGTGTGCTCCAACAGTGAAGGAGCCTGGGGAAGGACTGTGACTGGGCTGTGTAGTTTTGGGCAGAGAGTGTTATTTTTCAGTTTGCTACTGCAAAAACCAACACTGAAGGCAGCCTGAAGGCCAGCTCTCCAGCAGAACTTCTCACGGCAGCATTAAGTACCTCCTAGGATACACCCGATCTAGTTTAATTATACTGGGTTTTTTAAATCTTTGCATTGGAGACCATAATTGACAGCTTGGTTCTAATTAATTAGGAATCAAAAGCTACCCTGAGAAACACATCAAGAATAAAAGAAAAATATCAATTACTTAATGATAGGAATATATTAAATGATCTCATAAGTATCATTTGCAAACAGCTGAAAAGCTAATAAGGATAAAGGCATTAGTGTCCTGGATTAAGTAAGAATAAATATATTATAGCTTAAAAAAATTGAGTTAGATAACCCCTAAAGACAACTTGTGTTTGACAGAATGGAAAAGAAGCCTGGAACTGTTGCTGGAGATGGGGAAAGCAAAGAGGCATCTTTGTACATGATGCCCTTGATTAGCCACAAGCCCAGCAGCCTCTTGCCAAGCCCAGCACGCTCCACATTTGGGAAGTCTGCTCAAAACCAGAGCTATGAAGAATTGGCACCCCAGGCAGATGCAACACACAAGTATAAATTCAATGAAGGCATTTCAAATAACATAACTTTTTCCAGCAAGTAACATATGCCAGAGAAGACAAGCACTTACTTGAACATGGAGGTAGTCTGCAAATCCTTACAGTCTCTGGTTTATTTTCTTTGCAAAGGCCAATGGCATTGTCCCTGGTCCGGCACAGGACCGGGCGATCCTGCGTGCCATTGCCACAGCTGACAGAGCACTGGAAGGACAAGCACCAGTTAGACCCTAGCCACCCTTGGGAAACAATGGATTAGAAATCAGTGCCAACAGGTAAATGATTGTGGGCAGAATAAAGAGCAGGTAGAAGTCTGCTTTCCTGATGCTGACATCTTGTATGGATGGCTCACAGGATCTGGATCAGCCAGCATCACTGCAGGATGGCTTCAGCAGCTGTTTCTCTACTACCATCTCTCCATCTAACTCACTTTCTGTGGCATTAGTAGCAAGGGAAGTAATACACCCTCCATGTAGTTTATTGTGTCAATACATTTGAATAGAAAGCCCAGAACAAATGCCAAGAATTTATCCCCTGCATTATAAGAGATCAGTTGCTTGAGAACTCCGGAAAGGGACTGACCTGTGACCAGGCTCCAATTCTCCACTGTGCTGGGCAAAGCTCCCGGTTGCAAGGCCTCCTGCCCTCTGGACGGTTGTTGTTGCAGTACTTGGTATGAACGGATCTATTTGTATTATCATGTAGGGGTTGGATACATCGGACAGATCGTACTTGATACCCTGTTTTCCCACAACTTTTGCTGCAAGGCTCCCATTCTCCTGTAACCCATCTGGGTTGGTGAACAGAAAATAAGTTGAGTGAAATTATCTCTCGCCTAAATCAGGTGAGTTCAAACTGTCTGTTGAACAGTAACTCTTAAACACAGGTTTAACAATGTTAATACTAGTTCTGATACGGAAAAAGAATAAGATGTATGAAAAACCGTAAGCAGTCATGGTGAGGGTTATTTTATCATGTCCCTGAAAAGTCAATAGTAAGACCCAGACCTTTAACATGACTCTTTCCTGAGTCTCTCTCTCTTTCTCTTTCTCTTTATCTCTGAGATAAGCATTAATCTTACTTTGCTTCATTTGCTTTGATTTTAAGCTCGCCCTTCCAAGACTGCACATGGAAAATACAGTAGTTTTTATGTCAAAAGCAGCCACCTAAGGGTGCTGCTGAGCTTTCCCAAGTCTTGGCACAAGAACTGCGCCTTGTCTCATAATGTAGCAAACATCAGTCATCCCTACAGCTGGTTCCCACAGGAGTGAATCCAAACCAGCTGGGTTAGAAATGCAGCTCCAGCCTGGCCAATATCTGGATACTCCATTGAGCACATCCCTGGAGATCTCAGACACCATCTGCTGAAGCACTGGCAAACCTAGCTGCACCATCAGTGCTCTGCATGCTGAGCTTGGGGTGACCAAGGGTCCTCAGCATCATAAATGTTTGGTTTAGGCAAAGGCAAAATTACACTGAAAATCAGAAGGTCCGAATTCATAATGTGGAAATCAGTTGGGCCACTGTAAAATGCAACCTATGGTTTGTGATGTGGCATAGTTGAAAACCAATCATCCAAACTGGCTCAAGGATTACAGCTACAACAGTAAGCAACTTAGAGAGGAGTAACAAGGACAGACAGGCCTAGAGGAAATTTATGTAGACTACTGAAAGGTTGGTTATAATCAAGTAATGGAGATATAGAGCAGTCTATAAATACTTACAGAATGTAGAGATATCCAAGAAGGAAATATTGTCCAATAAAAACAGTATTCATGGGATAAACTTAACAGAAAAATATAAAATATAAAATAATATCCCAAGTTCAAAGCAATTGTCCTAAAGTACTCATAAAACCCTGGGTTTAGAAATAGTCAAGAGCGAGCATGGGCAGCAGGCAATGCCCTAAATGCTCAAGTTAAACAAGAAGTGGCAATTTCACCCAACTTTCTCTTTGTAGCCTATTGAAAGTACACAGCTGTAGAGGAAGACAAGCACAGCAGAGCACAATGCCATGAATCCTAAGGTGATTTCAGAGACAAAGATGGCTTTTTCCCAGAAGTGAAGAAGCAGCATATTAGTGTAATGGGTGTCACAGAGCATCATAAAATCTCTTAAATAATGGCCTCTCCTACGTACACGTGTGAAATGCTCCAATACCATTCTATGGAAACAGAAGTGACTAAAACATTCAAGAATCCAAGTACAATTTAGGATCCTATTGAGTCTTTGTGGTACCTGGGTCCAATTATATTTGCAGCTGAAAGAAGAATACAGTGCTTTCCAGAGAGCCTGACATACAGTTAGGTCATTACTTCAGTTTTCCAATAAATAAACGTTAAACCATGACCCATGCTGAGTTTATGGGGCACAGTTTCTGGACTTTTCTATCTTTTTTTTTAAGGGAAGTTAGGAAATACTGTGTGGTATGTTCTACTTGCTGTGCTTCCTGGAATCCAGACTTGGTCCCCAGAGGTAAATGCTGGCATCGACATACTCCTTTCTCGTTGCAGTAGCAACACAAGGATATGTGAGTCCTACATGTGGCAGAAGCAACCTGCTGCCAGTCAAACTGTGAATTAAAGTATTTGTAACACTTGACTATGTCTAGCAAAGGTGAAGGTGTACCAGGCTTTCCATGCTGTACAAGAGTAGTTGGAGAAACCGATCAGGTCAAATATTTTTTCCTGTGTTCAAATGTCCAAAAATATGCTGTGAACTTTAGGAAGATTTGGATCTGAGAGCCTGTATGACAATTGTTTTCTTATGTAGCACTCTGTAAATTTGTTCTTACATGGTTAATTCACACTGTGTAAAATCAACTGGTATAAATTGAATTTATGTCTATTTTTTATTACCTCAAGATGGCCTGAACACAAAAGTCTGGATCAAGACAGCACTTATTTTCTAATCCAACTTATTTCAGCAGTAATAGGAACCAGCAGTCCCAGAAATAGAACTTCTACAAGCAGAACCTAGCATCACGTGCTCACAGTTCTATGTCTCTGCAATGATGCATGGAGAGGAAGCTAAAGTCACCTTCTTTCAGGTGACAAGTGCCATCTGGGTACAGAGCCTGCTGCAGCTGCCACCAAGCAGTGCTCGTGGGCAGTGATGCTTACATGGGCTGGGAGCACTCCTGGAGGTTGCACACCCTGCGAATGGGCTTCGGCTTCTGGATCAGCTCGCAGTAACTCCGATGAACCATCTTGTGGTCTGTCTTCCTCCGGCAGCCGTACTTTGTGAACTGGTAGCCTGAGGAAAGACACTCCTCTTATTTTCAGCACTGGCACATCTAGCACAGGACTCAGGTTTCAAACAAACTGCACAAGCACCGTCAAAGGTTGCAGCTGGAACTACAGGTGAACACACTACAAAAGGAACTGTACATTGCAATGAATGAACACTTATTCATGCAGATTTAGCACCCAGAATTGTTCTGCCCCATGGCACCTTGAGGTCTGGCACCCTGGCAGCTTGGAGACCCTCATCCATGTCTTGCACATTTGTACAGTATTTCAGTCTCACAAACATAAATCAGGAATGAGGCACCCCACATCTGCCCGCAAACCCATTCCAGATCTTTAACTCCATTCATTATTTATTTCTCTGTTTCTTAACTTAAATAAAACCCATAGTCCTGGTCTCCACTAATGTCTTGTGGCAATGAATTCCACATGTAGTGTTCATTCTTTCTCTTAATCAGAATTAAAATGGGTCAGAAGAAAAATGTCTTAAGTGTCATCAATTCTTTCTCTCTTAATCAATTTTGAGCACTCTGGGGTTTTGTTTTTACCTCCTCCGCAAGGTTTTGAGCACTGGGACCATTTCTTCAAAGCCCATTCATATGACACTGAATCCTCTTCCAAAACATTATTATTATCTACATTCAAGGAATCTTCATGGATCATGTACTTGTAAGTCAAAGATATCTTGGCACTTCCATGAGGAATCACCTGGTAAGCAAAACAAACATAGGGAAAAATGATATGAAAGACTCCTATCAGAAGCGATGTGAGATGACGTGAAATAGCAATCATCATGGCTCAGATATAAAAGCATCCCCAGAGGGATTTAAACCTTTTAGCTGCACTCAACACATTTTTTTCTCCTTATAATGAAGTATCTCTATCCTTATGACACACAGTTTCTAAAGTGCATATTAAGACAGACTGTTGTTGATTTAGACTGATTTCTCTTGCCAGCATTGGACTGACTTCACGATACCAAATTTTTTCCATATCCCTTCATAAAGGAAGGAAATGTTGCACTAAAATGATAATGGGTAGTTCCACTGAAAGATGAGGCAAATTCAAGTACACAGATAACTGAAAGTAGTGAAGAAAATTGCTTATATTTCTGATAAAACATGAATGTTCTTATGGTAATCCTGGGAATTCTGTGAAGCGTGCTACTTAATCCTGACAGAAATGTAAACTACTTAGAGTTTTTGCTATCACACTGCACTAAGACAAATGCAAGAAAACAGAACTCAATGTGAATAAAGTGCAAAACATTGGTCCTTCGAAAACATAATATTTATTCCTCCTTTGACATTCAGCTGCTGTAGACCAACACGTTACAGCTGCTTCTTGAACCAAACTACCCCTGTTCATAGTAGTCTATCTTTTGCTGGTATAGTCGGGTGGGTTTGGGAACAGCAGAACTGGATGTGTCCTGACACAGTCAGCCTGGGAGCACAAGAATCCTGCATCTGCCTTTGCAGGTTACATTTTCAAAACACAGACAGGAGGAGGAGCTTGTGGAACCACCTGATATGAACCATTTTGACCTTTTTTTATTTACTGCTCATGAGTCAGATATGGTAAGTAACCAAGAGAGCCTTCACACAGTGCCAGTTTGCTAAGCCATCCACAGGAAATAATCATAGAATCATAGAATAGTTAGGGTTGGAAAGGGCCTTCAGTTCATCAAGTTCCAACCCCCCTGCCATGGGAAGGGACACCTCACACTAAACCATATCACCCAAGGCCTTGTCCAACCTGGCCTTGAACGCTGCCAGGGATGGAGCATTCACAACCTCCCTGGACAACCCATTCCAGTGCCTCACCACCCTCACAGGAAAGAATTTCCTCCTTATATCCAACCTAAACTTCCCCTGTTTGAGTTTGAACCCATTACCCCTTGTCCTATCACTACAGTCCCTAATGAAGAGTCCCTCCCCAGCATCCCTATAGGCCCCCTTCAGATACTGGAAGGCTGCTATGAGGTCTCCACGCAGCCTTCTCTTCATCAAGAGAGCTGGCTACTCAACACATAACCTCTAGTTAGAAAAACTCTTGTACAGAGCAATGAATTAGGAGAAAGGAATTAAAATACATCTTACTATTGCCTTAGAACTGAAGCAGATGTGTTCTTGTAGCTCACAAGAGGAATCTAAAATACATTATAGCACATTATGGCTCTGTAATCCTGACACTGTGTTCCACAGAAGAAGGTTTCCGTTTGACTTACCAGAATGACTATTCCATTACGCAGCGGCCCCATGGTCTGCACGGTTTCTCTATCATCATCATTCCGATATTCCCACTCCACACCCATGTCAATGAATACTTTAGAGTCTGGCACGTAGTTGTCTTCGCTGAGAATGAACTTCCCTGTTTCACGATTTTTAATTGCTAGGAACAACATAAGAAAAGTGAACACGAGAGGTTCTCTTCTCATCTCAAGTTCTGTTGGGCTCTTGTCCCAGGGGATGAAGCAGACAAAGCCAGCGTGTCCTTTCCCTCTGTTCCTTCACTGGTTTGGAAAGACTTTTTCAGGTGTTTCACTCAGCTGCCAATGCTTTCCTGCTCAGCTCCAGAAACATCAATCGTCCTTTTTTATCTTTTTCATAGCCTGCCTTGCCAGCGAAATGAGGCCAGGACAATTGCACCGCATGCCTCCCCCTGTCTGCTCCCAGCTAACAACTTCTAAATCCACCAGCTAAATCTGAGCTAATTTGAGACCTGGTGGGGGTCCCACAGCTACTCAGCTCTCTCACATGTTATAAGGCAGCTTGGGGGGCTGTTACTGCTCCATGAGAGAAAGGCTACTGGGCTAACCCAAGCAGGTCCCCACAGCAGGAGAGGTGCTAGAAATTGCACTAATTCTCTTGCTCAGAACAAGCTCTGACATCAACACGGCCCTGCTTAAACATGTGTTGCTTCAAAGTCCTCTTCCCATTGCACACAGCACCTAATTCCTCTGTTCCAGCTGCCATCAATGCCCCATCCTTCACCTGGAGAGATTTTAGCAACCTTTGTATTAAGACTCTTGGTTTTCTGAAATGGACAATTTTCTCTCCTCGTTAGAAGCAGCAGGGACTGTTTGTTATTTAACACCAGATTTTAATTCCCCTCTGTCTCTAGCAGCTACCTGAGCATCCTGCACCCTCAGCAGTGGCCTAGACAGAGAACAAGCTGCTTGTGTCCCCTGTGCATCACTTGCCTCACACCTAAAGAAGAACCTTGTCTGAATCAGTGCGAGATCACTATCCTCATCCATAGGTCAGGCTGCACTGAGCAGCAAGGGAAGCAAGTTGGGATGACTCAAGACATAATTAAGCCATTCACTGTGAATCTACTTCTAATTAATAATGGCCACTGCTTCCCATTGATTACAGGGCATGGGGAGGAGCAGATTTCAATTACTTTATAAGTTGCTGGATTGATCAGGCAGCCTCGCATCAATACTGTTAGCAATGGGGCAGATCTGAAATGGATTTGGATGTAGCTGGGAAATGACCGAGGATGGGAAGTGCATTACAAAATGCACATGAAGATAACTCATTGCACCTCATAATGTCATTCAGTTCCTCTTCCAACAGCTTTCACACATGCACATGCCAAAGCAGTGATCTTCATGCTAGGACACTGGGGAATCCAGCAGAGGGAAATCGAATTGCCAAACAAGTTTCCTGATTTAACATACTTAAAGGAGGTATGTGGTGTGGGAAGATAATGGGTAAACAAATGCATAAACACGTTGTCAGGCTCCAGAGGCAAAAATAAACAGCAGGAAAAAGATATTCTGACTGAAAGTTTTCCTACTTGTTGCATACTTACCGAGATTATGACTGGTGGCGTCTGTTTCCTGTATAAGTAAATGTCTTGCACCAACAGGAATTTCAAACATCTTAATGTGCCCTTTATTGTAGTATTTGAAAAGACAGAAACTGGTTAGTTTGCCTCAAACAGTAGGAACCTGTCTTAGGTTTTTAAATAAATCTTATTTTTCAAAAGCAGGGTGTATTGCAGCAAGTTGAATCTAATCCAGCATCATTCTCATCCCTATTTCTGTGCCAGGTGATGGAATATAACAGGGACAAAGGGCTTTGGGTCAGCAGAAAAATGTCTTAAGTGTCATCAACAGACTTTGCTTCAGACTAGAATGGGCTTCGAGTGCCATATGCACTCACAGAGAGACTATGCCAGCTCCTGTCTGACAGTGAGTGATGATGACATATTATTGCAGCACTCCAGTGACTCGGACAGATCAGCTGAGTGACAGCAGCAGCACAAATAAGCCCATGGTTCTCCAACAAGCAGCAATGAAGCCCTCCTCTATGCATGCACAGGCCTTGATATCAGCAGATTTAACTGATTACTGGACAAAAGTCTTGGTCTCAAATTCCAGAGGCATCTCAAAGGCAAGTCCAGAGAACTGATTGGAATTAGTGATGCTGTAAACAATTTGTGATTGCTCTGGTACTTTCCATGAAACAGTAGAGTTCAAACAGGAATACCCTGAACTCCCCAGGACAAAACACACTGAATGCACTGACCTTGTTTCTTTGGTATTCTTGAAAATGTTCCTTTCACCACTTTGCAGTGGGAATTATCTCCTCCACAAACACCACACTTATCTTCCTGCTTCGTGGAACCTATGACCCTGTCACACCCAACTTTCTGCGCACAAAAAAGAAAACCAGTCATTCTCATTTATCCACTCTATGATTCAAATGAGCCTTCAGTTATCAACCCCAAACTTCTGCTTCAGCAAAGACATACAAATTGTAGCATTTTCCTGGAAGATCAATATCTAAACAGATTTTAATACCTCCAGTTCCTATAATAGCTGTCAATCAGGTGATTATATTACGCTTCACAGTGGGCCTCTTACTGAAGGAAAGCAGCACGGTTAAGGAAAAGCTCTTAAGCCTCAGCTTCTCTTAAAGCAGATGCCAGGAGAATCAAGGCGTCCATACGAGGATAAGCACCTCCACCAGTGCATTGCTAAGTCAGAGCCTCTAATTCCATTGAAAGATGACCTGCAGCAGATCCCAGCTTAGAGGAATGGTCATTGATCTTTTAAAAATAGCACGATCAAGTACAGAGAATGTACATCAGCTGCATCTTAACACCGCTTTCCTTGAAAGCTGCTGCGTGTTCCTATTTCATTGTACATTCCACCCCCACTAAACCTCAGAAGGAAAAGCTTTCAGTGAATGCTAATCATAATAACTCATCTTCAAATACTGCATTAAATATTACTTGTGTAGGTAGGCGCTGTTGGAATTGAGTCACATGCAATGTGATGGCAACTGTGAATATCACGCATAATATTGTGACAATAATCCTAATGAAATGTCCTCATTGCCCAAAGTGTTTTTATACTTAATTGAATACTCATTCTTGGAGAGAAACACTCAAGCTACCATTTTAATCGTTTTCATAGTACATAAGCTCTGAAAGAAGCCACCAGGAGCTTACCAAGCAGTCTCCCCGCACGCAGATGCTGTAAGCGTCCTTGTAGGAGCAGCGGGTCCCATCGTGCACCATCCTTTTCATATACACCACATCCCCTGTTTCCTTTGATTCACAGTACAGGTGGCACCTTTCCTTAGCTGAAAAATAAAATGACCCAAATTGCATGTGTTCAGTTTAGTTGCTGACTTTGTGAACAGCACTTTCAATAGTATCTCTCCTCTTCCCTGCATACATCCCAGAACGTAACATGGTACCCCATAAATCATCGATGCTTATCCCCGTTCAAAGGCTATGTGATCATTTGGAAGCTGCTGAATCATTAGGGATCCATATTTCATGATTAGGAGACAATCTCAAAAATAACAAAGCATTTACATTGATCGGGGGGACCTCTATTTAATCCTCTGCTGAATCTGGCAGAGGTTTCTGCAGTCTGCTGCATGACTACCCATGAGAGATGCAAGTTTCTGCATCAGTTTTGCCTGCACTGCTCTGAAGTCTAAAGAAAGCACCAATCATTTTACCATTAAAAGCAGCTGCTTGACACAAAGTGAATCTGCCATCCAAAATGTCTTCAGAGACAGCTGTGCTGTAGTGTTTCCTCCTAAACATGAAGTCAATTCTCCCTCATCGTTGGACTTGTATTTACTATAGTTTATATCATTAAACAAGATGAGATGTCAAAGAGATTCAGAAAAAAACCCACATTTTTTTACTGCTAACACATGCACAAACAGCCAGACAAGTGCACCTCTTTCTCCTTACAAAAAAATAAAGCTGAAATGACTAGTCAGTGGCTGAATAAAGTTGTATCCCACCAGTGTATTTCAGTTTACCCATCCCTTTTGCGGTCCTGAGGCTCATAATAGGATTCACTATGCTTTCCTTGGCAGTGAAAAGCAGAAAAGCTTTCTGTTAGATAAAATACATAAAGGTTCTGCCGGTTGGGACACTTTCCCCAACATTTAAAACAGTAACAACCTTCACATTATAGCGGTTCAATTAAAATAAATCTTCACAGGCCCACTGCACTGTACAGTCCCATGGTCCCTGCCCTCTTTTCATAAAGTCCTTGTTATTGCTGTTGATGTCCTCATGGCCACTGGGTACTGGTACATCAGAGACCTTTCTTATGGCTCCCAAATGATGCAGAAATGTCATGTTAAAAATGTGGGGTCTAGAGTATTAGAACAGGCACTTCACTTTTTTGGGTGCAGATTATTAATAGGAGCCCATTAAGACAATGATAACCCCAGATCTGATGCTTTTCAATATATTAGGAACATTAAACTCTGCACAAGACACAGATATGCACACACCCACCCCTGGGTATGTACCCACACCCACCCCAGGCATGCCATACATTCACTGTGCATGATTAAATTATCAGGAGGTCTGACTGGGTGCCAGCAACTGCACGAGGGCTTTATTTTAGTGAGGGTTCTCTTCCCATTGTTCTATGGGAACAGTAAATGTGCAAGTGCTCTTAAATTGCTGTTAACTGCAAAGAATTACCTTCTTTCTACTCATGGTGTTGAGCACAGTAGAGATGCAAGAACATGCGCATCACCGTGTGACTGACTGTTCCCTGCTCCTATGTGTTTCCATCTCATTCAATTGAGGCTGGGAGCTAACAGCCAATGTCACTGTACACTGCCCTGGCAGATGCATGGCACAGGGTATTCGAGCCCATCACGGACTGGTAGGTAGGGTGCATAGGAGACTTGGAGTGGGAGACAGGCCATGCACATCCTGGCTTAAGCATACACTGAGGTGTCCCCAGCTCAGCAGCTTTTCTCTGGCCATGGGATAAGATGCTCCTCTCTGTCCCCATCACATACACAATGTGCCAGACACATCCAGCTGAGCTGTGTGTGAAGTGTATGGATTTATGCCACTTTTGAGCCATGACTGCATTATCTGCACAAAGTATGTAGCTGATAAGCCTTATCTTTACAAAAGGGAATTTAAAATACATTAGAGTTCAAGCACAAGCCACCCTCTGGCCATGGTTTCACACAAAAGCTGTTCCCTCTAATCACCCTGCACAGGTAAATGTAACTCTAAAGGTGGCTACACAAAAGTTATATACCAAAGTTATATGGGAAACCAGCAGTGCCCAGTGATCAGTGCTCAGACATCAGTGAGCTGGCTTCTGACCCAGAAGCCATTGAATTTAACAGAAAAACATCTGATTTGTTTCAGTGGTCTTTGCAGCAAACTGCTCCAAAGGCTAAAGCAGAAGCAAAGGTCCCGCAGGCCACGCAGCGTTCATCCCCTCTCCCTGTGCCAGCAAAGCTATTTCATTAAATTAAGCCATGAGGCTGTGTCTGTGCCTCTGAAAACCCCAGATTGCACAACATGCCATGAAAAGAATGAGGGGACCCTGAGAACTGTTTGGGAACAAAGTCGGGCGAATTAATTACAAGGAATTTGCTATTAACTTCTGGCTGAGTATTCTCGCACTGGAATGCAAAGTGATTCACCCAAAGTGACCCTTCCCCTCCCAGGATGGGTGCTTGGCTGAGGATAGATTGGGTGCCCAGTACCTGCTTCTTGCCAGGCCAACCCTGCCCTGAAGGACTCATCATTCAAACGAATTTAAAACTAGCAAGCACCCATGCTGATCATTGAATGAGTTGAGAACCATCTTCTTAGCATGTTTTCAATATAACATGTTGCCTTCATGGCCCAGATCAACCAGGTGCACCATCATTGACAAGTAAGCAGAGGCATTAACAGGAAAAGGAACATTTTTGTTCTAAGACAACCTCTGCTGAGATACCAGAGCATCACCCTGACCATGCTGGTTCAGACCCAGCACCTATCTAACCCAACACCTCCCTTCAGCAGTGCCAGAAGCTCTTGCAGTTAGATGTAAGAATAAACCTGATACTTTTCTCAGAATATTCTTAAAGCTTATTGCAAACTGCAGCTGAATCTCCCCTCTATCAGTTTAAAGCCATTCCCCCTTGTCTTGTCACTACACTCCCTCATAGAAAGCCCCTCTTTGGAACAAGCCTTCTCTTCTCCAGGCTGAACAAGTCCAACCCTCTCATCATGTCTCCACAGGAGGGGTGCTTATCTCTCCTTGTATAATTTGTATAAGTTTTACCTCTCCTTATATAATTTTTATTTATGTTTGCAACTGATTTTACTTTCCATAGGAAAAGGGACCGCTCACCATCGACATGTTCATAGGGGAGCCAGTGGTGTTTCGTGTTCTGGTACTCGAAGTAAGGATCCCACTGCCTGCACTGCTCCTCTCTGAAATCTTCCAAGTCCTTTGGACAGTCGTGAGTGTTGCACAGCTGGAACTCATAGCTTGGCCCCACACATGTACGGCCTCCATTGGCAGGACTGTGGAGGGAGAGAAACCCATGGTTAGGTTGACCATTAATGCATCAATCAAACATCTATAAAACCATCTGAGGAGCAATTTAATTTCTAGTAATATCAGTAGGCACTTGATGAAGCCAGATACGTATTTCTGATACGGAAAATATTTATTTCCTTTAAAAACCTGCAGTCACAACCTTCTGCAACTACAGCCTTAAACCATTTGATAAAGGTATGAAAGCCATTTTCTTGGTGCAGCCCAGGAAAGGAAAACATGAGCAGATGAAGCAACTCATTCACATTCACCCCTAAGCCAGCAGCAAATCCAGACACAGCCCAGCTCAGTGCTGCATCCCTCAAGCAGGTGAGCATCACTACTGGATCTGGCAACACAGAGCTCAGGAGTGGTAGCTGGGTTTGCACTGTCTACCAGGAAACAAAGAAAACATTTTCAGTAGCCCATTAGGCTTTTCCAACATGAAAATAGATTTTTACAACTAAAACTGTGCCCACAACTATAAAGGTCACTTTCATGTTGCCAGTGTAATAAAGGCTGCAAAGAGAATTGGTACATTTTTTAAAAGAACAATTTCCATCAGAAAATTCTGCTTCATAAAACTTGATCTATTTTGTTTTAGTCAGTGATAAGACAATTTGTAACACCAGTCAAGTTCAATTGTTTTATCAGCACAAACTGAGACAGTCAATGTAAAAAATACTGTGTCTGGCAAAAGCATTTAATTCTGACAATTGCTTCAGGTCTTGCTCTTAGGAGCTTCACATTTTATGATATGGCAATAAATAGCAATGATGATACATCTTGTATCACTTGTACATACCAGTCTTTATTAAATATACTTCCAGTATTACTGGAATTAAGTCATTCTACATTACCTAGGTGAGACATATCAAAGTTATCAAAGCAAACCAATCCAATATCACTAAAATTAACTTTGGGGAAGGTCCTGATCTCTGGAGCTTTGCTCCAACTTGGAATGAAAAGACTTTGAAAATATTTTAAGAACTCCTTGTTGAAATATCAAAAAAGTGGATTAACAAAAATCTGTTAAAAGTATATGCATTTAAAAGAAACCTCCAGCAATTCATTGCCATTATTTCCTACTCACGTATTAAAACAAGACATATGTAGGGCCCCAAACTTTTACTGATGTTTTATGCAACAACATAATAGCACTTTCAAGATACTTGTAACTCTATAAGCAGCTTAATGGATGGATAAACTGAGAAATAAAGATGATTCATGACTTGCTAAGGGCCCAAAGTAGAATTTCTAACAACACAGACTACAGGTCAGATTTAATAAGCACCACTAGCAGTTTAGCAAGGATTCTCACAATTCATTCACTCCACATCAGAACACATGGATCCATCCATACTTACTGTGGATTGTCACATTGACGTGTCCTATACTTCACTCCAGTGCCACAGGTGCGAGAACAAGAGCCAAACTTGCTCCATGCCCCCCAGTGTCCATCCTGCTTCAGGATGTCTGGGGTTAGCCAGATGCAGTGGCCTTTAAAACAATGCTAAAAGACAAAATCATATGTCAAAATGATTAGATGGTGAAATTACGACGTGAGAAGCTGTAGTGCAACAGATTTCATTTTAGGCACAAGTTCTGGAAGTTTTATTCACCTCTCCAGCAGCAACAGTGAGACTCACTGTCAGGTTGTGCCCATGATCCCAAATGCACTCAGATTTTATGAACTTACACACACGTTATCTTGTGCACTTATACTCAAGCCTACCAAGTTTGTTAAACTGCTCTCAGCATTACATTTATTCATCACTTATCTGCAGCAGTGATAACTGATACAGATTTACTTAAGGAAAATAACAGAATTCCAAATCTTGGGAGGCTAAAGGTAAAAGTCTGCCTCCACCATCACATGCAGCCATTTCAGGCAGCGGCAGCACCTGCTCCTGCTGGAGCACCGTCCCTCCCAGCAGCTCCTAACTCAGCATACGGATTCCTGCACTAAATGTGGCCAGGCAAGTGGCATGAAATTAAAGACAGCTCACATTTTAGGTATTAGTGCTATTAAATAAAGAACTCTTGCAGTCTCCGTGGAGATCTTATATTAAAATTGACCAAAATACCAGGAAGTATTCGTTAGAGAGTAGCCTTGCACAGTGCCACTTCTGGGCAGTTAATCATGTGCTGATAGGCTTTCCCTTTACCTGATTCTTAATACAGTCATCCTACAGAGGTTGAAACACATAATTTTACATTCCCCAAACCTATGCGGTATTTGCACATTTCTCTAAGAGCCTTCATAGCTTCAGTACTGATACTCTCTACTGTCTCCTTTCATTAAAGAAACCTGAAAAATGCCTTCCCACCAGTTCCTGCAGTCCCTAATCAAGGAATTTTTACTTAACTGAGGTCAGGGTGAATTCTTCTCAAGGATCACATACTCCAGCCCTTTCTAGCACTATTTCTGCTTTCGCAAAAGCTAACTGATGAAGTGAGGATGCTGGAAAACACTTCCAGCCCAACAAATGACTTTGCATTAGACTGTCGCAGTTCATCTGCGCTAACGGTTACTGCTGGGATGAGAGCTCTGGCTCAGGCACACAGATGGTTATAACAACAAGTGCAATCAGTCACTTACTTTCCTTAACATTCAAGTCAACAACAACATTTTACACAGCTTAACAAGCCCTGGAACGCAGGAATTTGGCAGGCAGCACAAGCCAAGCATATGGCTAAATGCATGCTGCCAGCAAAAACAAAATCAGAAGATATAGAACAGGAGAGTGTTCTTAAGCATAGAGCGATTAGTGATCTAGAAGACAAATGCAAAAGTGATGGATACTCATTAATAATGCTGAATTAAAGAGAGAATCATTAGTAAAATAGGGACAAGACACAGCTTACTGATTTGCTACCCTGCTCTGTGACTGGCTCTTTATTCCTGTAATTTATTTTGGTGCTGATTTGATTGGACAAGGAGTAGAAAAAAGAGGATAAATTAGGTTTCAACTATTCATTCTTTCTCATTACTTCAAATATTCGAAGTCAAAACCTATGAAATAGATGAGTTACCACAAAGCCAATTATACCAATCCTGCTCCAGAGCTGTAATGGGCAGATTTTTCTTAGCTGTTTGACAGAACAAGAGATAATTCAGCAAAGCATGAAAGAAATGCAAAATGCTAATATGTCCTTCTCTTTCCTCTGTTTTGAAGCTCAGCGTTGTAGCCTTCAGGGACTGTTTACTTATGACTTTAGAGAGGTTTGTTTGAGGGAACAGTTTGAGTTGTCAGGCCCCATGTAGCAATGGGACCATTCAGAGATGCAGAGGAAGCTGGCAATGCATCAGCTTGTCAATACAAATTTCAGTTGGGCTTGGAAGCAGATGAGATGTGACAGCTCCTGATCTGTGCTTGCTTACACATCCTTTTTATCAGGGTTCTGCATCCTTCAGGTGTTAAGTTCCACAGCAATTACCAAATCTGTTTCAAGAGCCACGTAGCGTATGTTTGTGATGTGATGATCCAGGATCCAGCACTTGAAGAGGAGGAGAGACATGTGATGTGTTTTCCAGTCTCTTTTCCCTGTTTTAGCCAGGAACAGGGGGATGTGGGCTTGCAACAACCACTAATAAACCACCTATTTGACACGGTGACTGGTCCCTGAATTGGAAGGTAAACATGGAAAAGTCTTACTGACTTTGGTGTGTGAAAGAAAGAGCAGCACTGATTTTTACTGGAGAAGCTGGTCATATGCTGATTGTCAGGAAGCTATTAGGAGACAAGCATTTGTGTAAAATGAGTCATCCCCAGCTCTGCCTTTTTGTTAGTGGATTAAAAGAAAGGAGTCTACATAAAACAAAATGATTCACAACCAAGTCTTACTCTGTGCAGACCCATGCAAGAAAAGGCATGAGAAGGTAAAATTAGAGATGGAGCAAACTCCAGTGCACTAAAGGAAGCTAGAGCCAACCCTTCCTATTGCTACTACATTAACTACATAATGAGGCGGAAAGGAGGCAATTTCAACCGCTATTCCCTTCATAAACAGGGGGGTTAATTTAAAGAATGAAGTACATTAAAGCAATTTTTTCTTTTAATGAGAAAAACCCCCTGGGTGAATGCAAATTGTTTTCCTAGTGGAAGAGAAGATGACTTCTTACAGTCTCGCCTATTTTTCTGGCAAACAGGACAGTCCAAAGCAAGTGCAATTTCCAGGAGAGGAAGCTTAAATCTCTTGCAGTAAAACATTCCACTGCTGTTTTCAGCAGTTCTTTGAAACAGCTGCTGTGGATGCCAAAAAAAGAGCCAGTGTGTTCCTATGGGCTTAACACATCTGCAAGTTAATATTTCAAGAAGACTTGAAGATCTTCCATGGATAACTCTATCTATTTTATATTGGGCAGCAACTTGTGACTTTCCTATCTCTTTGCTTGACACCCCAGTTACCTATAGGTAACCCCTCATACTGCAACACAGCAGGTGTCCCTCAGCTCTCTTCAGCATCCTGAGATCATATCAGGAGAAAGTTACTTATTTATTTGCATTTCCCATCACATGCAGGCTGCTCCATCTGTTTCAGAATAATTAGTTGCAAGGGATAAACTGAAAGCTCTAACACTGAAGTCTACTCTGAGCCAGTAAAAGTTTCTTCAGTGGAGAATCAAGTATCCTCACTGTTTCTGTGGTGACTAACACGGCATACACTTACCCATCTGTCTCCTGTCTCCAAGAGAAGCTGAGGTCAGCTTTCTCAGTGGGAAATTATCTGGATTGCTTTGAGAACACATTAGTGTTTTCAGAAACCTTTTTTTCTCTGTCCATTTTCCTTCTCAATAATATCTATTTATTTCAATATTTAATCATCCCCTTCCTTTCCGGACAGACTAAAAAATCATTCCAAGTTTGACTCAGATCCTCTCATTAGCACGGTGCAAGGAAAGACAAGACCTGCAAGGTTTGTGCTGGATCCTTGGCACGTAAGCCAAATCCAAAAGCAACATCAGCTTGGCTGGCAGGAGCAGGTACCCGGCTCTTGCCTCTCTCCCAGAGAAGAAACAAAAGGGGCTCAGGTGGTGGAACCTTTGTGCTAGTCACTGCAGCAAGCAGATGGACCTGAGCATGCAATCTCCTTTGCATGAATGACTTTGGGTTTTATTTCTGTCCTATGGAGAGCAGTTACCTACTTCAGCTGATACAAATGTCTCTCCAGAAGAGTAATAGCTTAAAAAAATGGAACAAAAGCTGATGATACACCTCAGGAGGTTGCTTGGCTTCAGGAGCCTGAAGCTCACAGTGGAGCTGACAGAACTGTATACAGTAAATAAATTATCATCTGAAAGCATATGTTTTCTTTTAATCCACAGAATGCTATGCAGAGTTAATCTCTGCACAGCTATGCCTCATCTGCATGGTTTACTACAGCAATTTATGGCGTGTCTTTGACTTCACATTAAGACTCCAACCCTCCGTGTGCTTAACTTTACACACTGGAGTAATTTCAAGGAATTTAATGTGAATATTCAGACACAGAAGTAATTGCAAGTTGCTGCATCATCAAAGCTTCACCAAATCGACAGAATCTTCCCTCTTGCTATTGAAAACTCAATCTAGTTTAAAAAAATCAGGCTGGGAGCAATATGAAATACTCCATTTCCTTTAGGATTCTACCACAACAGCACTTTTTTTCCCTGGCTGGGAAGCTGCAAGAGGACATTTTATTTTTCTCTCCCTAGACCCAGCAAATCATTAGTTTGCTGCCAATTACCACCACGGTTGCTCAGTGTCTCCATTTGCACAAGGAGACCCATTAAAAAGTTTCTGAAACAGCAGAACCTCACTCTTCTGGCAACTTCTTTCAGATAACCACATGCACAGAAGAGCTTACATACATTTACATATATTTACTTAAATATACATCTATATGTGTGCATACATACACCTATATAAACAGCATTAGAAAGTCTAATCTTCCTTCCATTTTTAAGGGCCACAGTGCTTAAGTCCATGACAGCCTGGGTGTGCAGACATGACTCTTATCAGCATGCTTGCTGATAATGTGATACGGATCTCATGTCTCCCATCACTGTTCTTGCCCCAGTTAGGAAGGAGGCAGCTGGACTGGATTTTCCTCAACAGCATCTGCTAAGCTTGGGAAAGAGAAGAGACCAGTTCTCAGCTATGTGAACACCAGGCTTAGGTGCAAACATCTACGCACCATACGTCGCTTTAGTCTCGGGAACATCACTTTCGTTTCTGGCATTCGGTCCCCTCAGCTGCTGCAAAGCCAGGATGTTTCTTTGACACATCAGCAGTGTTGTGATTGGTTTGAGCTTAAAATAGGCCCTGGGAATTAGTGGTATGAAATCATGAAAACTGCAAGTCTCTGAAGTGGGGAAAAAAATGGATCTTCTTGAATCGACATCTTTAATTGCTTATGTTTCTGTTCCTTTCTCTTCTGGTATTATTCCAAAGAAAATAGTGTATCACGTTTGAAGTTATCTTCCTCTTCCTCATGTGCTGATGAGGTATCATGGGAGATGTATCTTAAAGGAGGCTGCAACACGTCAACTGAGTCCCAGCTTTGGGCAATATATGCATTTTACTTTTCCTGTCCTTTCAGGTAAGAGTTTCTGGTATTTCCAAATTGATAAAGACAGTGAACAGGGGATGACCAAATCAAAGGCAGGGATGAAAACAAAAGGAACAGATGGAAAAGTACTGATCTGATGTGCCTATACTGAAAACAACAACAACTAATAAATACACTGGTCAAAGGCTGAGCGCCAGTACACAAAGTCAGCTGCATAACCTTCCCAACGTTGCTATTTTCTAAAATGTGTTTAGCTCAGACTGCTCAGCCTTATCTAATAAAATGGTTTTCATTTTCTGTCACTCTCTCTTCTTCTTGAAGGTTGCAGTAGATTTATTTATCAGAAAAACCTGGCACAGCTCCTTTGGGAATAAAACAGTCATAGTCCCATCATCTACTGAAGCTTCAGAATGTGCACATACTCTCTTGCATCTCCACTGAGCTAAAAAGCCTGGCTGTCTGCACAGTTTGCTGGAGCCTTGGATCCCAAATTCCAGTCCAGAGAAAATTTTTACAGCTGAGTTGCATAATATCCTGACAAACTGTTTATAATGGAAGCACTGACAGATCCTTAACTGTACGGTTACAAGTCCTTTTTATCTTCTCATCTCTGTTTAAATACTAATATGAATGAATGGCTTGGGGAAGAGGGTGGTGCAACAAAATGGAATATAGCTGTATTTTGGGGGGGTTTCATTAGTATTTTTAAGGCAAAAATCAAGATGTAGAAAAGTGAACTGAAAGAAACCAAGATTTTGGATTATAATATTTAAATATATATATTTAAACAAGAAACAAAGCTGTTACAAAAGGAATACTCTAAAGAAGAGAAAAGCAGAAAGGCATGGTTTATATAGAGCATGGGAATTAGAGGCTAGGGAATTAATTTAGCATTACATTGTGTTTTCACAAAAAAAACACATTTCAACCCATAAAAGCAGCTGCTAATACAGTTCATTTATCACATAAATGATGTCATCCCTTCGGTTTTACCAAACAAGCTTTCCAAGTAGCAACATCTTCCTCTCCCCCTCAGTCTCTGCATCCAAAGCCCAGGGAAGCCAGACTTTTACAGCAGACTTCAAAGGACTTGGAGTTCAGATCCACTATGAGCACAGCATGACCTCCACAGAAGGATAACAGAGACCTGGAGCAGGTCCAGCATGGTGGCTATGGGGTCTGAGCTGTCTGAGCCCTTGCCACCTTGACCTTCTCTCCACACTTCCTCATGCCTCCCTTGACGCTCATCAAGGCAGCAAATCCACCCCTGCAGATCAGCCCTTCCCTCTTCATCTTTGCCATCATGTTGCTTGTCTCTAACTAATATTCAGCTCCCATATCTATCCTTTCCCTCATGGCAGCTACAGCAGTTGGGCTGTCATCTCCAGGACCTCACTGCTCTCTGCACCCCCTGCACTGGGGAGGCCAGTCAGCATCACCATAACATCACTGACACAAACATAACCCCTCCAGCCTCACAAAACTCACAGATGAGTGGCAATATCCCCAGATTTTGCTCTACCACAAAGACTTGCCAAGAAGCACAGGGCAATCTGCAGATACTTCCATGACTTGCCTGAGGATGGGGTTTGATGTTCACAGAGCTGTCATGAAGGACACACCAACCCTGGCCCCTACCTCCTCCCCTCACACTGCTCAACAGCCTTACTTGCACTCATGAGTTCAGGTCCTCAAGTTAGGTTCTTCTCTCATTCCCCTTGATTTTAAGGAGAACATCCCCAACTGCACACCAACATACATGAACACGCATGAGCAACAGCTGCTCTCACCTTTCCTGGTGCACACATGGTCCCGTCCAGCGGAGGCCCTTTCTTTGTTTTGCAGAAGTAGGGGTTCTCGGGGTGGCTACACCATAGCTGCTTGCAGGGATCAAATGTACGGAACTGAAACACAAGAAAAATCAGAGGGGATGATGCTTCAAGAGAGCTCCCACTGGAAACTGCAATAGGAGCTGCAGCACTGTGGGGCTTTTCCTTCTCTAGCTGTAAATGCCAGCTCTCATCACTGATTCCTGAGGAACACTGTGTGTGATCTGAGCCTTCATGCAAAATCATCAGTGATTCTGAAGTGAGGTCCCACCTGCATTCAAAGTAGGGCAAAAATAGGTTTACAGTAGTGACCAAAGGGACAAGGGGACAAGGAGTCCTCCTGACAGTCAGACACACGCTCTCTTTCCTTACAGCTTCCCCAAATGGTACTGCTTCATTTGACAAAGAAACCAAAAAATCCTTGTGCACTCATGGGAGAAGGAAACTGCTCAGACTGCAGCTCAGCTGCTGCAATCACCTTCTTAAGAGGATAGAAATATGACCCAATGAATAAATCAGCATTTTACCTATAGGTTGTATAGGAGAGGATGAGCACCACCCACCACACAATATACTAAAACATGATGTCTGGGCATGCTTTTGGCTATTCTGAACAAAGAACAGAAAGCCTCTGTCCCCCAGGCTCTGAAGAATGGAGGTAAGAACAGACCCTCTTTGGCTGGGACATTCTTCCAGGGCAGCATCAGTAAGAACTGTGTCAAGACACAGCACTGGAGCTAATGCTTTAAAGGTTCTCATCCATTCTCTAGAGACAAAGCTCGGCACACATATTCCTGCAGATGGGAATGGAAGCAGAGATGTTACGTGTCAGCAGCTGCCACACCAGCTGAAAACATCTCTTTCCATTTAATATTTTGTCCTACTTGAGGAGCTGGAGGTGTGAGGCACAGCCCTGCTGCAAAAGACTGCTTTCTGAAGCCAATCATAGACTCATAGAATAGTTAGGGTCGGAAAGGACCTTAAGATCATCAGGTTCCAACCCCCCTGCCCTGGGCAGGGACACCTCACACTAAACCATATCACCCAAGGCCTCGTCTAACCTGGCCTTGAACACTGCCAGGGATGGAGCATTCACAACATCCCTGGATAACCCATTCCAGTGCCTCACCACCCTAACAGGAAAGAATTTCCTCCTTATATCCAATCTAAACTTCCCCTGTTTAAGTTTTAACCCATTACCCCTTGTCCTATCACTACAGTCCCTAATGAAGAGTCCACCCCCAGCATCCCTATAGGCCCCCTTCAGATACTGGAAGGCTGCTATGAGGTCTCCAATCCAGTGAGAGTTGCACTAATCTTGCCTTGCTTTAGGTTTAGAGTTTGTCTCATGTTTTCCTGGTGCAAGAGAGCCAACCATGTTATCAAGAGTCCTTCCAAGCTGCTCTACTCGCTGTCAAATTTATTTTCTTATGCTAGGCATCAAAATGTATCATACTTTTCATAAAACTGGATCATAAAAGCATAGTGTTCCATGTTTGCACTAAAAGATATGCCACCAAATCCATCTCCTTCACACGTGGGTGGGAGTTTTGCAGCAAAATAGGAGGCTCAATAATGAAGCCAACTTGTTTGCTTGAAGTTAAAAGCTATTTGAGACAACAGAATAATTATTTCTGTAGCTCCAGTTTGAAACAAAAAAGACAGATACTTAAAATAACACATTTGTCAACATTCAATTGTCATTCCTTGCTTACAGCTAAGTGGGCACAACATCTTTCCTTGTGGGCTTCACTACACTGTCTCTATTAAGGGCATTTCACAGACACTTCTGGATAAGAAACAGCAGAAGCCAGACTTAAGTACTCACAGCTGTGCACATCATGTAGCCCAAACCAAAATCAAACCGGCACTGCTCATTCATGGAGTAGTGAATTCCTGGCAGCTGTGGAAGGGAAGGCCAGTCGTGTTCGAAGGGATCATCACGCAGACAATCATAGGAACTGCAACAGGCAAAAATTAGAGTAACAGATGGGGCTGTGAGACTTGCACAGTGTTTGTGGTTTCATTGCCTTTTTGTTCCAAGCTAAACAGAGCCTATGATTTCTCAGATGCTGGTCATGAGGAGCAGCTAATATTGCAATTACATTCACGTTAACTTTAGCATGTTGTATCCACCTTTAATGAATGCTGTATATAGCTTTTCTGAAGCCCTTCCATTGTAATTTCTATTTAGCTTGCAGGTAAATTCCTATCAGTCTCCAGGCTCCTTATGTGAAAGGAATCAAAGGAAGAACCCACATGAGACCAAGAAGAAAAGAAAGTTTAATTAATTTTCCATTTGTGGAATTTCTTGCTGCCTGTAACTGTCTTTCAAGTGAAGCTTTAGAAGCAGACACCAGGGTAAGCACCCGAGATTACCACTAAGCTTTGCAGTTTTTCCTGTGTCCTTGCTGAAAGCAGCAACTCATTTACAAACGTGTGCTTTCCTGCCTGCATTAAAAGCTCATTTGCTCCCTTTCTGTTTCTCCTGATAGCTCTCAGCTCCATCCATACTTTGTACAAAGTTTCCTTTCTGTGAGATGAATATGGGAGTACCTCCCCTCCTCCTATATAGTGCAGACAGCCTGTAATGTACTAAAATCACATCTAAGTTGTTTGGAGGACAAAGGACTGATGCTAATACCAATTAATGGTTAACACAGTATAATCATTGGTTAATTCACAAGACCATCATGGTCAACAGTATCTCTGAAATGTTTCTGAGTTATTTAACAGACATGAGGACAGCATAAACAAGTCTGTTCTGGCAATCATTCAGGTTGCCTTGAAGATACCAATGGCTCAAAGCAGAATTTTGAGGTTAGATTTACTTCAAAGCAAGCCACCATTCTGCTTTGTTACCAGATATTTTCAAATAGCTGTATTTAAAAGAATGTAAAGCAGCTCTAGGCCAGATGACTTTTATTTAATGTCTATGCTCTGAAGGATCTTGCTAATTGAAACAATCACGCTTCCCTCACGATATTTTTATTCCATTGCCATACCTAAGATACCCAAGATAATACAAATATTGACAAAAAGACTGACTTTTTTTTATTTCATGTATTTTGCTGTATTTTTTTTTTTTTTACTCATTTTCAGGTTTTGCTAAGCATCCTTGTAGTTTCTCCATATTTTTGCCATACAACTTCCACTGAACAACAGGGGGAAGTTTTTTTCTATATGGAGCAAAACCATGGTCATAAACATCACAGTCTGTCAAGGAAATCCAGAGCAGGTCTAGTGCCCAAAGTGCCAGGTTCAAAAGAAAGGGAAAGGACACAGATGAAGCTGTTTAAACTGGTTTTACATTTAGGGTACCTGAAGGAAAAGTAACAACTGAAAAATTATTTCTAGAACCATGCCCTTTCTCTGGATATCTTAGAGTCAAGAAAAGCCCTGAGCACTTGAAGGGCAGAATTTCCTCTTTAGGCAGCACCATCTTATCGTTGACAGGTATCATAAGCAGCAAATTGCTTTTGAAGACAAATTTGGTATCTGTAAGATAGACACCACAGTGCTGAGTAGCATAAGCACTCCTCCAGCCAGACACTGCATTAAAGAGGGAGGAAAGTTAGCAATGAGATTTGTAATAGTGCCTTCTCATACCCAGCATATATGCTAGCAATGTCCAGAAAATGAATAGATGCAAATGAAATGAGAAGGATTTAATATGGGCAGAGAACTTGTCTTATTATTTGCAATTGATGGGAAAGTATCTTGTTCCCAATAGGAGGATCCTTTGGTTTAGTCAACCCCATTTGAGTAACTAACAAAAGGCTAAAGCACAAATGTTAGATGCAGAATTGTTCTTACATGCTTCCTAATCGAAGGAGAGAGACTGCTTAACAGCTACTCACTGGAGATATCGATTCAGCTCTTGCTGGCTGCAACGAGACCAGTGGAAGCGATGAAACGCGGCTTGCACAAGAGGGGCCATGATGCTCCCCAGGCGGACTTCGTCCCCACATCTGTTCCCTTGGCCATCGTGCTCCATGCCTAAACTGCCCCGCACAGGAGAAAGCCAGCACAGTTATATTGCAGGTGAACTCTGCGTGCCCAACTGCTTCCCCATCCCAAATGTCACCAGTGGTTGACTGCAACAAGGTTCATAAGCCTCATGACCCTTGTCCACATGAGCAAAGTCATAAGAAATAAACCAGGGTGAGCCTGAAGTTAAACAGCTCACCTGTAGTAGTTTCCACAATGAAGTGTTGACCCTTGAGAGTACTTTCATGTGATTAGCTGAATCCTCTAGACTAAAAATACCTTCTTTGGACTTTGCTGCACATCCACATTTGTGACTTACTACAGCTCAATAAATCCATTTCTGGATTAAAGAGCTAGTCACCCCTGTGGAGTATTAACACAAATTAATTCATACTCCAATCTGGAGCTATTCAGGAGTTTATCTAACTTTTAAAACATCACACCTTAGCTGACTTTGAAGTAATCTGCAATTGCAGACAAGTCCTTTCCATGGGGAAAACAAAAGACACCACACTGAAAGCTAGTTCAGACTAGCTGCTGGAATTGCCCAGTAGCATTCCCACATTGTTACATGTGAAAAAGCCTCGAAAGTATTGGGTGCTTTCCAGAAATTATCCCAAATTACAGATATTTAAAAATTTCAGTTTTATTATATGTTTTCCCCTTCCGTTTGTTAGGATTTTCTGTTGCATTTTTTTACAAGCACTGTTTGACTAATGTGAAATATCTGTCTGCAATTTAAACCAAATTAACAGACTGGGGCTGAATGTGATTTGAAGGATTACAAACATTCTCCTGTGGAATCTCTTTTAAAGCTCACTCTGTCTTCTTTTTAATCCTAATTCAAAAATTCTGGAATCAAATTCCATCTGGGTATCAGTTCTATGTCCCTGTCTAATTAAGATACATTTACAGTGATTTTAACTATTTTTTTTTAAAGCCCTTAATAATTCTGGTACAACAAAGAGAAAAGGGCCTGCAGGCTTTCTTAGGGAAAACAGAATAGACTGAAACTGTTCAGAAAAAGGCTTCTGGGAACTGTTGCTCTACCAAAAAGAAAATGGGAAATCAGTGGGTGTTCTCTGCAAACAGGGAAACTAAAATTCTCAAGGAGAAACCAGAGTCGTGATAAATGCTGCCCAGTAATTGGTTCTAATTGCATCAGTAAGTAAAATGATTGCATTTTTTTATATGAAATATATAGAACAGTTGTAACCTCAGTGCTTGGCACCTCATTTCTATACAGTATTGTATCCTTTCCCAAAAGTAACGTATACAGATGACGTGCTTATTTAATATGGATTGTTTTCAAGACTCATGTATTCCACTGACTCAATGAATTCATACATTATGAGTACTTTACGTTTCCACCAGGAGATTACAATACATCATTCAATCTACTCTCAGAGCAGCTCAGGAAGATATTTTGGTATTAGTTCCTTTTTCCATTTGAAAACACCCAAATATAAAGCTTACTTAAGATCATAAAGAAAGCATTGAGAGAGCTGAGACCTGAAGCCAGAGCCAACCCTGAATATTGCTTCTTAACATAAATGGGCTCATTCCAATGTCATTGCTATTTGTCAGCACCAAAGACATTTTAAGGTAGGGCACAGGATGCCCACAGTTCCACTCACACATGTCCAGTTTCATGAGCCACCACAAAAGCAGATGAAAAACCATCTTCATGGTTCAGAGTGCAGCTTCGAACAGGATGACACATTCCAGTGACCGGAGCATAGCCTGTGAGAAATAGCAAGTGTTCCAGAAGTATGGGAAGGCAGTGTGGTGAGCAGCTCTAGGACAAACATCTGCCTTTTGCTGTGACACAAATATAGTTGATGTGGTCCTCTCAAGAGGCCTCTGTCCCTGAACATTTAATAATGTGCTCCCTCATCTACGAGGCAGATCAAACCAGCCTGTTGAATAAATTAAAACTAAATTCCCAGCTCACCAAGGAAATGCTGTTACCTCTGGACCGTTCTGCAACTGCCTTCCCTAAGTGCATGATGCAACAGGGGTGAAGGACACTACATGCTGCTGGGTTACAGCCCATGAGGAGCTCAGTGCAGTTCCAGCCCTCAGGGGATATGTGAGCAAAGCCCCAGCCCTGTGCTGACAGCAGACCTGGACAGCCCAAAAGAAATGGGAAAGCTCTGAGATTTAACCCCTCCAGTGAACAAACCTGTGCTCACAGGAGCAAAGCCCTGAAGAAAGGAAAAAGTGGACAGCACGTGGCCTTGCTGTTCCAGACCTCACCGTAACAGTATTTCTTGGCAATCCTGCTGGGACACGGCAACAGCTTTGGAGAGTTTAAACACAAAATCTGCTCTTTAATCTTTAGGCATTTTCAGGACTGTTTATGTATAGATCCCATTTTCTTGGCTTCAGCAAGAGGAAAGAAATGATCCAATAAATAATCCCCCCAGTAAGAAAGGATAAAATAGTGACACAATTACAACTAAAAATGGCCCTATGCAGAGCTCCAGGGGAAAGAAAACGTTAACCAAAACTAAGCAAAAGATGCACAATCAAACTTTGCATGACTAGCCTTGCTAAGGGATGAACACAAATACCAAACAAAACCTGATACACCTCTTACCTTGCATTCCAGATGGACCAAAATCCTGCCTTGTGAGAAAGATAGCATGGTCATGGTATTCTGCATGCCCAGTGTCAGGTTTCTGTTGCAAGTAGGCCCAGCGACACACATTCTCCAGGCTTTGTGAAGGGTTCCCAATCTCTATTAGACTCATGGACTGCATGTGCACAGGGGAAAAAGACACCAACAGTTATTTATTAAAAGCTTGGGCAACTGTTTTCCCATCTTGTTCAGTTGGGACTAAACATCCCATTTCCATTACAAGTTTGTTCTTAACAAAGAGGCAATTACACTTCAGAAACAAATTTTACTGGATCAAGAAAGTAAGAGAGTAGCTGAAGTTCATGGTTAGATTAAATATGATTTCCTCAGTTAATGAGATCTAAGATGCAACAAAAGAAAAATAATATAGAAGAAAACCAAAAAGATGAGTATTTTAAAGACAAAGTTGATACTGTGCATTATTATTTATATGCCACCAGCTTGCACCATCACTTCCAGTCTGGTTATACAGTTTCTGATCGAGGCTGTGCCTTTATCAGAACTGCAGTGGCTCTTGGCCAGCAGAGACTAACCTCGCATGGGAAAGAGTAATGTGTAGTGGTGAAGAAAGCAAATCACAACAGCAGCAGACAGACAGCACCCTGCCCTGGTTCATCAGCCACTCTTGCTGTAAAACTGAGGGGTTAGGCTGTTTCGTCAGACCTTGGAATGCTATGGAATCTTCTGTGAGTGTAAAACCTGAGAACGCTCTTTTCAGCTGTACTTGGATCATTGATTTCAGAAATGGACTTTCCCAATGACTGTCTTTTAAAGTGCATTTGCATTATCCCTTCTGTATCTGAAGGTCATTTGGAAGGTAACTGTGACACACCATTCTTCCTATAAACCCCATTACGTGGTGGTGTGCCAACACGGCTTAGCCAACTCAGATGAGTGTTTGGTGTGATGCGAAACGCAATTCTCTTCAGCAAGAAAGAGAAAGAAATGTTAAAATCCAACTACTACATTTGTACTTTCTTAAGAATTCCCAGCTAATTCTACTTAGTTCTGTGCATTGCTAAGACATGAGAAAGCTTATTGTATGTGGGATGCTATAAAATGCATGACTAATTGACCCATCCCAGGCCATCCAGGATTTGTAAGAACTACACATGTGAACCCTGGCTTTTGCTTTGCAAAAATTATATTGCCATGACAACACTGTAATCATAACACAAACCACTACAATTTAGATGTTATACTGTACTGTAAGCATTCGTCATTCCAAAATACTTAATGTAGAGCAAAACCTTGCCTAGGCCAAAAATAAGAAAGAAGTAATATAGTTCGTTTTCAATTACAGATGTATTTGACATGTCCTCTAATTGAGTGCATGATGGAGAACACAGAGTATTGACTACTTGAAAAAGAAAATCCTCAAAGGGTTGTGAAGGAACAACTGGAATTGATAAAAGGAAAGGCTGCCAAATTGAGGTCTGTGTCTGGCAAACCCAGAGTATTACAGTCCTGCAAATGTTCAGAAAAACAAATTAATAAACCAAATAGAGGCACACTTTGGATTCTGATACCACTGTGGAATGAAAAAGCTGTAATATAATCCCACACTGGATCATACTGCTTCCAGCCATAATTCCCTTGAAACTGAACTAATAACTGTATTTAAATGGTGGGACAGTTGTGGTGCCTTTATTGCATCTTTGTATATTTATAAGAACAGACTTAAACAAACTTTAAGTCACTATTACAGGGTAAAATCCTGGATCTTCAAGCAAAAATCCTATTCAGTTTAACAACATTTGGCCATTGTTGAAGTGTTTAATAACATCCATCAGTGGTAAACCAAAAACAAACAAGCAAACAAACAAAACCCCTATCTCCATCATCTCCACCTTGTTCTCATTTCTCCAAAACCTCACAAAAGAAATTGATGCCTTCAAGGAGTTCAGTGAGAAATCTGATTGCAAGATTCAAAAAAGCAAAGAATGCTGTAAAGTGAAGTTGAGAAATCTCAAGGCATGTGTATCACGAATAGTTCTTTGTCTCCTGATGACCTCCTTCTGTACGTTCTACCAAATGAAAATCATCACATTTTAGAAGCTGCACCAATTGAAAAATGGACAAAGCACACACACTATCAACATGTGTGCTTTGGTTTCAGGGTATATGAATACGTACAAAATCTCTGCGTGATCAGCAAACAAGCACAGAATATCAAAAGGTCAGTAATTTCCAAGTAACCACTTTATTATAGCTTTCTTCTGTCATTTGCCACCTCTTCTCTGCCCACTAAACTGAAACCTTGAGAGTGGACTTCAGCACAAAAGCAGAAGATTACTCTTTGAATGAACTAACCTTAAACTGCAGCAGCTTGCAGCACTTTTCTGATGAACATCAAGTCTGCTGCAGTGGAATGCCCAGCAGCTCCCCTGGTTTGGGCATCTGGCATAAGTCAGCAAATGTCTTCACTGTATACTTATGTCCATTCTGAGAGCAAAAACCACTGGTTCAGTCCAAGAGCATGTCGATGTTTGTTTATTAAAACAGTTATTCTTGAGTTTGAAAGGAGGACCAGCTGGTTAATGTGTGGAGCATTGTGGGGTCTTTTGCATCCAACACAATGGGGAAAATGAAGACAATCCCTTTGGCAGTAGAGGGGAACTGAGAACACGCAAGTCCATAAATCATGTTTCAGCTGACAACCTGACTTCTTTGCCAATGACAGAATTTTAACATCAGGAGTGTGGCACATAAAATTGAGCCTTACTGCTCTTTAATTTGGTAAATGAGGTATCCTGTAGGAAGTGAGTTATTTTAAGTGTCCATGTGTTACAGACACAAATAGCAAGTTGAGGTTGTGTGTCAGTGAAGAGGACTTCCAAAGAGAAAATACTCTGTCTACCTGCTGAGTACTCAGAGTCCACTGAGCATTCAAATAATCTGGCCACAAATCCCTTATCTTTCTTCACTGTAAGCAGCCTAAAAAGAGAAATCCACTTGATTCCTAGCAAATTTTCACTCAAATTCCCAGTTTCTGCAACTTGTAAAGGGCTTCCAAATCAGAAAGGTTCCAGCAGTACTAACAGTGAACACTGCATGGCCAGCAAACTGCTGATGTGGGCTCTGAGTCAACCTCACCATGCTATGCAATTGTCCAGGGAAGAGAAATAGAGGAACCCATATATAGCGTAGTATTTCCCTCCACATAACCTCTAAGGCTCAGGTAGTCTTTGGATCAGAGATTTCTTGAGCCAAACATGCCTTTATATTGCATTTTTATTCACTTTTTCAGCTGCCTCACCTTTACAGATAGATACTGCTGTCCTGCAAGAAAGGAGCTTACAAAATCATAGGACCAGGCACAGCTTGTTACTGGATGGGGCAGATGTAATACGTGTTGGAAGTTACTCTTGTAGAGAAATTAGGTAACAGTTGATAAAATTTCCTGTTGGAACTCCATGAGGAGCTTTCATCAGATTCAGAAAAGCCTAGCCCCTCATTAAATGATAGTACAGTAAAAGAGAGAGATGTACAGGAATAAGGACAGAAAGTAAAGGTAAAATCCCTCTTTGTCAGATTGCAAACAGACAAAGTCTGGGGGCTAGCAGGCTGCATGTGGAGAAGAGATGTAGGTGTTACCATTGGCCAGCAAAGGGCACATACTGCCAGCAACATGCAGGTCCTGCCGCTGGCTGGGAGCTCAGACCTGGCCGGGAAGGAGTTCTTTCCAAACAGGACAGCAGGCCTGTGGAGAGCATTACTCAGCTGATCAGCAGGAAATCTGCCAATGGAAAGAGAAACTTTCCTTCTCACAGCAAGAAAAGCAAAAAAAAATCTGTGGGCATTTCAGAGAACTGCTGATGGAAACAGATGGAGATGTTGGCCAAGAAGTGGAAAGGTCTCAGCTGGGAGAACATCCCCCATGCAAGGAGACACCACAGAGGGTTATGAGGACAGTCTGCCCTAGAGAACCAGCTGAGATCTTTGCTCTGAGAAACTCAAGATGTACTAATGCCTTGCATTTTCCTTCTTTTCTGATTCTGCCTTTACTTCTTCTCTACTCCCTTCTTTCTTAGATGGAAGCAGCAGAAGAAATAGACAAAAATAAACAACTGAGTTGCAACTACCACTCATATAAAGAGGGAAAGCAGGGCAACCCAAAACAGGCAAAGCAGGGCAACCAAAACATTCTGTGATTCCATGAAATACAAAGTTATCTTAGAGGAAAACCGCAAATTTAGTTTACATTCTACCCAAACTTGTCAAGAATGTCCACATTGCCAGTCCATGTGAAAGACACACTCGTATCACAAACAGAATGGCACCTTTTCTTAACCAACTGCTTTATTTATCTGCCATTTGGCATAACTGGTACAACTCTGGAACAGTGTTGATGAGCAGGTACTTGATGGTAAGAACTTAAGTTCAGGCTGGTCAGAAGCTTGACGGAAAAGGACCTTTCCTAACTCATCCATTAGGTGGTGCTCCAAGAGTACCAATGGAGAAGGCTTTGCTGCTGCTCCAGAAGGAGCAGAAATATGCTTAACTTGATAGGCTTCAAACTATGGCAGCAAAAGTTGGACCACAGCAGTGCGCACATTGGGGAAAGAACTTAACGCACATCTTGAATATTTAAAGTCTCTGCAAAACACACTGCTTACATTACACTTCTATTGTTCATCACATATTGGATTAGATCTTCTATATTGTTCTCTCATTCTTAACAAGACAAGCAAAAAATAAACAAACACAATTATTGAGTGTCCATGGTAACTGAACTAACAGAAATAACTCATTCAGCAAACTGTCATTTTGCATTCAAAGGATTTGTAAAGCTTTCTTATGGCAACATTTTGTAAACATTTTTCAGTCTCTAATTCTGTATAAATATAAGCAGATCAAGAATACAAAGTACTGTTCATGCCATCAGTCAGCTTTACAATTTTCAAGGTCCTGAGGAAACACAGTAGGAAATTATGAGCTATGAGCCTAATATATAAATAAGGCACAATATCTCCTGTTATCTTTATCTCCACCTTAAACATATGAAAAAGTGCAAAAATATGAACACCAGCCAAAATAATACATAATATATAGGTTCTAGCTTTGCAACTCAGCCTGTGCCAAACTGGTTACTGGATATGGCCAAAAACTTCA